ATGATGCCACATTGCATTGTGGAAGTCCAGAGTGACAGAATGTGTGTAACCTCACACTGAGATGACATAAACCATGGAAAGTCATGAGCACTGCTTCAGATCCTGTGGGCTAAATGACCTTATGCTCTGGCTCCTCTGTTTCTGATGACCAAGGGCTGGGACAAAGGCTTCCTAGCATAGTGCTGAGGGCAGAGGTTTGTGAGCCCCCGAGACTAGAGCTCAAATTACAGCCTAACTAGTGTGACTTGGTCTAGTTACCTAATTTTCCTGAGTTTTAACTTCATATGAATATGAATATCTTCACCAGGTTGTGAATATTATGGTTTTTTTTTTGTTTGCTTTTGGTTTTGTTTTTTTGGAGACAAGTTCTAGCTCAGGCCAGAGTGCAATGGTGTGTTTTATGTTTGTTTTTTTTTGTTTGTGTTTGGTTTTGTTTTTTTGGAGACAGTTTCTAGCCCAGGCTAGAGTGCAATGGTGTGATCCCCCCACCTTAGCCTCTGAAGTAGCTGGGTGTAAGGGATGCAATACGACACCTGGCTATGTTTTTTTGGTTTTGTTTTTTGTAGAGACAGGGTCCCACTATGTTACCCAGGCTTGTCTCAAACACCTGGGCTCAAGTCATCCTCTATCCTCAGCTTCCCAAAGTGCTGGAATTAAAGGTTTGAGCCACTGCAACTGGCCAGAAGATTATTTTTTAAGAAAAATGGAGGCATCTAGCATTGTGTCTTGTTTTTCTTCTTTTGGTGTCATTACCTAAAAGTTTCCTGACCTCTCTTTAAAACAAGCCTCTTTACAATGTCATATTCAAATGGTGTTAGCCCCTGGCCCAGGTCTTCAGCTGGAATAAACTAACAGTGATAGGCACCAAGTGGCTGGTTTGCCTGTTTCTCTTTCCTCATCCTCACAGTAAGCTTCAGAACCTCTATCCTTCTCCACCTTGTTCTTTTCTTTTTTTTAACTTTTAAGTTTAGGAATACATGTGCAAATTTGTTATGTAGGTAAACTTGTGCCATAGGGATTTGTTATACAGATTATTTTGTCATCCACGTAGTAAGCTTAGTTAGTTCCCATTAGTTATTTTTCCTGATATTCTCGCTCCTCCCATCCTCCACCCATCAGTAAGCCCCAGTGTCTGTTGTTCCCTTCTATATGTCTATGTGTTCTCATAATTTAGCTCCCACTTATAAGTGAGAACATGCAGCATTTGGTTTTCTATTCCTGCATTAGTTTGCCAAGGATAATGGCCTCTAGTTCCATCCATATCTCTGCAAAGGATATGATCTCTTCTTTTATGACTGCATAGTATTCCATGGTGTATATGCACCATATTTTCTTGATCCAGGCTACCATTGATGGGCATTTAGGTTGATTCCATGTCTTTGCTGTTGTGAATATTGCTGCAATGAGTATATACATGCATGTGTCTTTGTGATAGAACGATACATATTCCTTTGGGTATGTACCCCAGTAATGGGATTGCTGGGTCAAATGGCAGTTCTCTTTTTAGGTTTTTGAGGAATTGGCGCATTGTCTTCCACAATGCTTGAACTAATTTACATTCCTGGCTGCAGTATATAATGTTCCTTTTTTTCTACAACCTCACCAGCATCTGTTGTTTTTTGACTTAGTAACAGCCATTCTGACTGCTGTGAGATGAATCTCATTGTGATTTTGATTTGCATTTCTTTAATTATCAGTGATATGGAGCTTTTTTTCCTATGATTGTTGGCTGCATGTATGTCCTCCTTTGAAAAGTGTCTGTTCTGGCCGGGCGTGGTGGCTCAAGCCTGTAATCCCAGCACTTTGGGAGGCCAAGGCGGGTGGATCACGAGGTCAAGAGATTGAGACCATCCTAGTCAACATGGTGAAACCCCGTCTCTACTAAAACTACAAAAAATTAGCTGGGCATGGTGGCACGTGCCTGTAATCCCAGCTACTCAGGAGACTGAGGCAGGAGAATTGCCTGAACCCAGGAGGCGGAGGTTGCGGTGAGCCGAGGTCGCGCCATTGCACTCCAGCCTGGGTAACATGAGTGAAACTCTGTCTCAAAAAAAAAAAAAAAAAAAAAAAAAAAGAAAAGTGTCTGTTCATGTCCTTTAAAAAATTTAAAAAGGGATTGTTTGTTTTTTTTTTTAATTTATTTAGGTTCCTTATAGATGCCGGATATAAGGCCTTTGTTGGATGCACAATTTGCAAAATTTTCTCCCATTTCGTAAGTTGTCTGTTCACTCTGTTCTTCACTCTCTTGTTCTTTTGCTGTACAGAAGCTCTTTAGTTTAATTAGATCCCATTTTCAATTTTTGCTTTTGTTGTAATTGCTTTCGGCATCTATGTCATGAAATATTTGCCCGTTCTTATATCTAGAATGGTATTGCCTAAGTTGTCTTCCAGGTTTTTTATAGCTTTACATTTAAGTCTTTAATCCATTTTGACTTAATTTTTGTGTATTATATAAAGCAGGGGTCCAGTTTTAATCTTCTGCATATGGCTAACCAGTTATCCCAGCACCATTTATTGAATAGGGAGTTCTTTCTCCATTGCTTGTTATTGTCTGCTTTGCCAAAGATCAGATGGTTGTAGGTGTGCAACCTTGTTTCCAAGTTCTCTATTCTGTTCCATTGGTCTATGTGTCGGTGCTGTTTTGGTTACTGTAGCCCTGCAGTTTCAGTTTGAAGTCGGGTAGCATGAGGCCTCCAGCTTTGTTCTTTTGGCTTAGGATTGCCTCAGCTATTCAGGCTTTTTCTGTTTTATATGAATTTTAAAATAGTTTTTTTCTAGTTCCATGAAGAATGTCATTGGTAGTTTAATAGGAATACCATCTAATCTGTAAATTACTTTGGGCAGTATGGCCATTTTAACAACATTGATTTGTCCTATCTATGAACATGGAATAGTTTTCTATTTGTTTGTGTCATCTCTGATTTCTTTGAGCAGTGTTTTGTACTTCTCTTTGTAGAGATCTTTCACCCCCCTGGTTAGCTGTATTCCTAGGTATTTTACTCTTTTTGTGGCAGTTGTGAACGGGATTGCGTTCTTAACTTGGCTCTTGGCTTGATTGTTGTTAGTGTATTGGAATGCTCGTTATTTTTGCACATTGATTTTTGTTTCCTGAAATTTTACTGAAGTTGTGTATCGGCCAGAGGAGCTTTTGGGCTGAGATCCACCTTGCTCTTTATGGGTCCTTTTGTTGTCATCACAGTTCTTATTGTTCTTCCTTACTTTTGCTAGGTCCTTCTTCCCAAAATTTCTAAAGTCATGCCTCTGTTCAGTTTTTCAGCCAGCTCATATGTCATCTGTAGGATGAGAAAACCCCAGCATATTTGGTTTTATTTTTTATTCTTTTGTAGCTATTACTCCTCTCCCCTGTGCAAACTTCTACTCATAAATGGGATGAAAAGTAAGATTCGGTCTTCCACTGAGCCAGCCAATATGAAGGTCAAATTCAGTTAAATTCAGGGAATCAGCTTAGTGAAGGAGGATAGGGTTTGGGGTTCTGATTATCATTTCTTCACTCTATGGCTATGGTATGTTATTCTCTCTTCTGCAAGGTGGTGGGAATACTAATACCCAACTCACAAGATGTTCTGAGGCTTACATGAGAGCATTCAGTGTGTTACCCAACAGGTGCTTTATAAATTTAGATGAATGTAGAGCTAAATTTCACTCTACTTCTACAAAAGATGGCAGCCAGGCATCTATAACCAGCTCGGAGGACTGCCCTTCCTAGTAAACGATGTTAGATAACATGGCAGTATGTCCTCAGTGCAGTCTGACTGACACTCTGTCTTTATTAGTTTTATTAAAAATCCCTGACCATCACATACACTCATGTTCAAATGTGAGTAGAGAATTGCTTCCAAAACCAATCACTGTTTTTCTTTTCCTTTAGCCTGGGAGTTGATTATTTAGCAAATCATTTTAATTTCCCTCAGACTGTGCTGCTAGTAGAATAACATCATTCTCATCAGATCAGCACCTGAAGCCAGTCAGCTCAGGAGTAGCAAAAGACTATTTAGCCTCCTAAAACTTGCCTGTTCCTCTTTTCGTGGTAGCAGCAGATGACCTCCCATCTCAAACTGGTAACAAAAGACCAGCTAAGCAAACTGAATATTCTGAGCAGCAGCCTTTTATAAAATTTCAAACCCAAGTGGAGAGAAGTGAAACTGAATACTCTGGTATGGGAATAGATAGGCAAGAAATGGGGGAGTTTAGTGATCGGGTGGAGAGATAAGTAGCGGCCAGACAAAGACTTTAAAAGCCATGTTAAGCAGTTCAGGGTTTCTTTTGAGGGTGCAGGGAAGTCACTGTAGGACTACAGAAAGAGTACTGTAGCTGGAGTATAGAGATCAAATGGAAGGACAGTAAAACTACTGCTAGGGAGATCAAGTAGATGTGGCTGCAGCCAGTCAGCTGAGGAGTCACAGAGCCTGAACTCAGGTCATTGTGGTTCAGACAGGAAAGATTCGCAGTGTTTAGAAGGCAACGACTAGGTCTTGGTGATTAAAGGGATATGGGACATGAAGGAAGAGTCAGAACTAACTCCTAGGTTTTTGGCCTGGGAAGCAGTAGAGCCATTCATTCCTTGAGCAGAGGGGGAGGTTGGGCAAGGATGATGAGTTTAGTTTTTAAATCTTATTTTTTCCCACCTGACTTTGTGGTCAATCAGAATTAACTCTGGGAACAAATACCTGTTTACCTCTCTAACTTCAAAAGATTTAACTACATTAACAAGACAGGTTAAGTCTTGTTTCCAAAAGGCTTCTGGCATGCCTCAGTTGATCCTTAGCAGCCTTTTCCAGGAACACAAAGGCTGTAGAACAGATCAGTCATTATCCTCTGCTTCTGGTTTCTTACAACTGAAACATTTCTTCCATTTGTTGGTACCTATATATTTACATTGGAAGAACACTGCTGCTCTGAAGCCGATTTGCTTATCACTTAAGCCTGCAAGTTCTTAAAAATAAGTTGTACTTTTGCCTTAGAAGAGATTTTCTTTGTAGGTATATCTGCCTATGGTTGGAAATGAATTAGAAGAATGTTTTGGGGATTACTAATTTTATCTCAAAGGTCTGAAATGTAAAATTATGAAAAGGTAGAAATCTTTCACAGCCTAGCCATATTTCTGCCTCACATTGTTTCATGGAGAGTTTGTCAGTAGACCCATCTGTTCAAGATCACATGGGGAGTACATGGTCTTACGTATTAACTTTGCTGTACATCATGTGAACCAAGCTGGAAATCAGAAGAAAATCCTTTCAAGCCATATAGTGACATAGCTTTCTGCATGCTTCTGAAACAAAATCCTGACTTTAGATACTAACCAGAAGTTATAATGACTAGCTTTAGATAAATAAGGATCTCTCTACAGGGGATGTATCTAAAGACATGTTGCATCTTTATCCATTGGGGAAGGAGTGAGCAAAATTTCTGAGTCATCATCCTTTCCTGTAGAAGGAGTAAGCTTAGTGTAATCTGGGTGCATTGGCTCACACCTGTAATCCTAGCACTTTGGGAGGCTAAGGTGGGAGGATGGCTTGAGGCCAAGGGTTCAAGACCAGCCTGGGCAACAAAGCAAGACCTCATCTCTACAAAAATAAAATTAGCCGGGTGTGGTGTTACGTGCCTGTAGTCCCAGCTACTCAGGAAGATGAGGCGAGAGGATCTCTTGAGCCCAGAAGGTCTAGGCTCCAGTGAGCTTTGATTATACAAGTGCATTCCAACCTGGGTGACAGAGTGAGACCCTGTCTCTTTAAAAAAAAAAAAAAAAAAAGAAGCAGCAGCAGCAGCAAGTAATGTAGACCAAGTAGAATTATATGGATTGTGGACTCTGTGAGGGCACAGACCATAGCTGTTGTCCATACCAGTATCCCTAGCAACTAGTTCAGTGTCTTGCTCATACAGATGCTCAATAAATACTTGTTCTGTGTGTGACTGAATAAATGAAAGATTCTGAATTTTCTGATAGTAGAAAATATCTCCACATATACAGAAAAGTGCAAAAATCATAAATCTGATGAATTTTCACCAAGGGAACACCTCATAGGCCTAGTGCCCAGGTGAAGAAATACAGTCTTGCCAGTCCCCAGTGCCCCTCATGCCCGTCACAGGCATTGCTTCTCCAAGAGTAAGCAACAACATGACTCCCAATGCCACAATTTTGTTTTACCCATTTTTGAACTGTGTATAAGCATGTCCTCTTTTGTGCCTTTCCCTGTTCACAACATTTATAACATCGATGAGATTCATCATGTTGTTAGGCGTAACAGTGGTTCATTTCTACTCTGTGCAGTATTCCGCTGTGTGAATATACCACAATTTATACTATGGATGGATACTTGGTTTGTTCCTGCTTGGAACTATTCAAGTAGTGCTGCTGTGAATATTTTTGTACCTCTCTTTGGGTGGGTGTGTATATGCGTTTCTGTCAGGTATGTACTAGGGGGTAGAATTCCTGGATGATAAAGCATGTGACTGTTCAGCCTTAGTAGAAACTGCTAAACAATTGTCCACATTTATAGTTGCACTAGCAGACTTCCTGTTGCAGAACCTCCCTGAATACTTGCATAGGTCTTTTTCATTTTAGGCACTCTGGTGGGTGACTAGTGGTACCATACTGGGCTTTTAATTTACATTTTCCTGATGACTGAGGAAGTTGAGCATTTTTCATTTGTTTACTTGAATATGCTCTTTTTTTGTGAAGCATCTATTCTAGTCTTTTGCTCATCTTCCTACTGAGTTGTCTGTTTTTCTTACTGAATTCCCTCTGGTAGTCAGAGCACAACTCCATTGTTGGATACATGTGATGCCAAAATCCCCCACTCTGTGGCTTGTCATTTCACCTCTTAATGGTGTCTTTTGGTGAAAAGAGTTCATAATTTCATGTAGTCCAATTTTATCCATTTTGTCTTCTGTATGTTTAGCAGTTTTTTTTTTTTTTGCTTCCTGTTTAGAGAATTATTGCCTATTCCAAAATCATGAAATTTAACTTCGCCACCTTTGTTGAAATTATAATATTAAGGCAGAAAAGACTCTTCATTCTGATCTGTTGGTTCTTAGCCTTTTGCAAATCCAGGATCCCTGTGAAAATCTGATTAGAACTCTGGACACTCTGCACAGAAGTGTACATATGCACACACACAGCAGATTTTCCTGCAGTGTTAGGGAGTTCACAGACACCACACTTATCTATGGACCCCTTGTTAGAAAACGCCTAATCTATTCCAACCCAGTCATTTTACAGATAAGGAAATTGAGGCCCAGGGAAAGACCACTGTTAGTTTGTGACCCACCTGAAACTAGAGTCCAGGTCTCTTGACTCCAATTCTAGTGCTGTCTCTAACAGGTTTCCCTGCTGCAGTCATTCTGAGAATATCTCACTGGCAGAGCCATGAAAGGGAGATTGTTTTAGTCAAGGGAGATTTCTGTGCACTAGCAGCAAAAAAATGGCTACATGGACATGATGACACCCTTTTAGTTTATGTATTTACCTTACATGTTTAAGCTCCAAGGAGTCTACCGCTAAGTTTTTTTGAAGTTGACCTGGGAATTATCATGGTCGATGCATCCTCCTCTGGCTGTGACTCAGTGCCCTGGGGTTGCTATATGAACCTTTCCATGTGCAGCTATCCTGTGTTCGGCTTGATCTTTTTGTTGGTTCTGGCTGGAATTTTAAAAAGCATCTTATGTAATAAGTTTCTAGTCTCAGTGCTCAAGTGGGTGAGGTTTACCAGAGTGGTTGCTCCAGGGAGAAAATTAAAAGGGGTGGAGGCAGGGAAAGGAACTCGGAGTTTGTTGACTAGGTTATGTTGGTTTGTAACTTGTCAGCTTGTAGACACACCAAGCCAGAGTATCTAGAAGTATTCATTGATGATTTTACTGCTCCATTGCCACAGTCTGCAGTCAGCTTTTCCAAGGCTCTAAGTGGACTAGGCAGTTTATAGGTTAACAGGGCCAGGTATTTTCAAGCCATCACTCAAACCCCAGTGCTAGGTGTGTCCAGAGCGAATCCTGTTACCTTGTCAGCATGCTCACCAAAGTGCACTGCCAGGGGTGTGCACTCCGCTCTCATAGCACAGATCAGTTTGTGTCTTACAGTGAAAAAGACTGTTCATATCTTTGGGCCACACCCTGAAACACAAACTGAATGATCTCACCCTCAACACAAAGGAAATTGAGTCCATAATAGTTTCCACAAATAGGATACTCTTAGATCTGACAAATAGCACCCATTTATTTTATCCTATTTTACTTCTTTCCCCTAAGCCCCCAGAGAGCCTTTCTCCAGTTTCATCACATACTCGTGACTAAGCAGATGGGGGTGCTAGGGGGCCAGCTGTTTGAATGAGGCACATTTGTCCTGTCATTTCAAAAGCTTTTACAGAGCACCTGCTGTGTTCTGGGTCGTGTACTAGGCGACGGGGCCGCCTAGGTAAATAGGACAAGGCCCCTGTCCTCAGGAAGCTCCCAGTCCAGGCAGAGGCATGGGTGAATTAGCCAACATATACTGCACAGTGTGTCGAATGAGCACAGATGGTGTGGAGCCACCCTGGGGGTCCAGGGAGGCACTTCCTAGAGAAGAAATCTAAACAGGGATTCCAAGTCAATGAGGCAGAAAGTGATGAGAACAGCATTTGTCATAGGCAGACAGGTGGTTTTCATGGTGACAAAGAGACAGTAAGCTGGGGTTGGAATTTAAGCCTGGGAGAGAGAACGGGAGCCCAGTGGCATACAGAGTCTTGTCCTTGTCCCACCTTTTTGAAAGAGCTACTAAATTCAGAGGATGCCAATATGTTCATAACTCAAAAGGATCAGTTATCCCAGTAACTTAGGAACCATTGGCATCCATACCCCTAAATCAGAAAATGCCGAAATCAGAATCCTTTCCCCCTACATCACAGTGACCTTTAATCACCTTCAGATCCTCGATCTCCTAGAGCCCACCGATTGGCCTCTCACTGCCCTCCTGCAAAGACAAGTCTCTGTTCAGAATGTCACTGAAACTCTGAGCATCCACTCAACAAGCCTCCATTTTCTTACTCTCTCATGTTTTCTCTTTTAGGCATGAAGAAGTCAGTGATTTATAGTTCACTAAAACTGCACAAAATGTGGACAGGGTGGCTGAGAAAAACGTCCTGATATTGTTTGCTTTTATATATGTTATATATAGATGAATAAAGTGTTTACTTCTTTTTAACAGAACAGTGTTTGTTACTTTGACCCATTGCTTGAATCCGAAGATACCCTCGTTTGTATAATATTTGGTTTTTTATATGTATGCATCATTTATCCAGGTGGGACAAACATATTAGAGGGCTTAGCATTAGAAGGAAAGAATCCTCTCCATGTACAAAGCCATGTGGGTCCTGCAGAATAGCTTTACCTGTGGACTGCATTCTGTAGGTACACGAGAATCAGACATGACAAGTTGCATGTATGCTGTGAACAGCAGCCCAGGAAGCTTATAGGCTGGGGAAGCTTGGCTTTCTGCCTGGCTTATTATGTCTCTAGTCTCCATCCTGTTCACTTTTTTTTTTCCAGCAAGGGCTCACAAGTATCACATCAACATTTCCCTGGATCTAGGCTTTTTGTGTTTTTCTTTGTTCTCCACGAAAGTGTATGGCAGTGACTTTTGGGTGAGGAGCCTGGACAGACACCTTGCAGAGCCTGCCTTATTGTGACAGTTAGGACATGTTTGGGCAACAGGAAACCCACTGCAGAGTGCCTTGAACAATAAAGAACGGAATCATTCACCCCAGTTTCTCTCCATCTCTCTGCCCTCTGCAGTGTTAGCATCGTGCTGAAGCTGGCTTTGCTCTGTCATGAGACTGCTGGCAGCAGCTTCAAGAGCTGTGTGCTTCCATATCACAAGTAGGTGCCACAGAGAAGACTCCTTTCAGATGACCTCTTAGAAAAGCAAGAAAACTTCCCAACAGCCCGTAGTAAGCCTCTGTTTGGTTTCATGGATGCTGTTGGGTGACATGCCCACCCCAGAGCCAGTAAGTGGACAAAGGATGGAACTAAGCTGATAGGCTCAGGCCTGAACCACTAGCCCCAGCCCAAGAGGTAACTTCCCTCCCCTCTGGCCCACAGGCTTCAGAGAAGGAGCAGACACTTAAATGGGAATTGAGGAGGAAGGGCTGTTGGGAAGCAACCACGTCCTCCCACCTCATCCACCTCATAAGCCATACCAATCTATTTAAGCTGAACCTCAGCTTGTTTTTTTTTTTCTTCAAATCATCTTTGTCCCACCTCACACTCTGTATTTCCATTGCCAAATATTCTAGTACAGACTCATAGGCTTTCTTGTGCAATTTGAACAATCTCTGTCCACTTACTTTTTGTTTACTTTTGGGTTCAGCTCATTCCAACCCATAGTGAGAGTGCAGACTTCAGATTCAGCCAAACTGAGTTACATCTCATCCCCACTACTGATCAGCTGTGTGACTTCAGGCAAGTTACTGAGCCTCTGAATAGTTTCACTGTCTGTGAGATGGAGATAGCACTATAGACTCCCTCAGTTGTGCGGTTCTGTGCACTCACCTATATGGAACACTTAGGGTAATACCTTGTGCCTAGCATTGAGCAAATGTTTATTGCTACTGTGGTTCCTTTGTATTGTTGCTTTTGTTATTGTTTTCTTTTCCTTTTTTTTTTGAGACTTTTGTTGCCCAGGCTGGAGTGCAGTGGTGGAATCTCGGCTCACTGCAACCTCCACCTCCTGGGTTCAAGCGATTCTCCTGCTTCAGCCTCCTGAGTATCTGGGATTACAGGCACCAACCACCATGCCCAGCTAATT